CATCCACTTTCTAGGCAAGCTGACATGAAATAGATAATTAACCGATTTTAAACAGTTGAAAACAAAACATTAACGATAATAACGATGAAAGTTTGAAGTAGAGTGATATAACACAGGACAATAAAAATCGGGATTTAACCATTTCTCACCATTTTCAAATTTGAGCTCGGCCTAGAGGCGATTTTAAAGAGGTTTTTCATCCCAACTTCATAGGTTAGTAGATTTTAACTTATTTTCAACACCCATTGATTTTAACCTCTAATGTTTTTTCATGGTAGAAACTAGGGATTTATGTAGAAATTGGGAATTTTGAGAAATTGAGATTTAGACATTAAATTGAGGCCAGATTTCGAAACATATCACATAACTAGGCTCGTGGGTGAATGGGTAATCCGATTTTGGTCAGAATCTCGAGTTTTGACCAAGCGTGCCCGGTTGTTTTGAGTATTTTACCCTCATTTCCCTATTTATTGCCTCTTATATGCTATATTATGGTTATGCGACTTGCCGGGGTGGTTGGTTTGGTTTCGGGTGAGGTTCGGTTTAAATTGGGACACTTAGTCCCAAAGTTTGAACTGTAAGTTAAAAGAGTTGACCAGAGTTTGACTTTTATGTAGACAACTCTAAAATAAAGTTTTGATGGTTCTAATAGCTTCGTATGGTGATTTTGGACTTAGGCGTATATCCGGATATTTATTTTGAGGTCCATAGGTCGTTTTGGTTTGAATTGGCGAAAATTCGAAAGTTGAAGGTTTGGAAGATTGAGAAGTTTGACCAGTAGTTGACTTTATTAATATCGGGGTTATATTCCAAATTTTGAATTTGGAATTCGTCTGATGCGTTATTTAAGACTTGTGTGCAAAATTTGAGGTCATTTGGAGTTTGTTTGGTATGTTTCGGCATTAGTTTTAGGAGTTGGAAGTTCATTAGGCTTGAATCGATGTGCGATTTGTGGTTTTTATCTTGTTTGATTTTATTTGAGGCTTCTATAGAGTTCATATCGTGCTGTAGAACTTGTTGGTATGTTCGAACAGGGTCCTGGGAGCCCCGGGTGTGTTTCGTATTGAGTTCAGACTATTTGTTCTAGTTTCTTTCATCGCGTTCGCAAAGGATATTCCGTGATCGCATAGAGTCCTTAGTGACGAATGATTTTTATTCCTCGTATTCCTGAAGTTAGGGCTGCAATATTGTTGGTTGGTGCATTTGTGCATTGCGAAACGCGTGCATTGGACCGCATTCGGATATAAAAGGAAGGAGAGGCAGTGGGGAGGCATGTATTATTCACAGTGGGGAGGCTGTGGGTGACTGGCCATCGTGTTCGTGATTGGGATCATGCAATCATGTAAGAGGCTTTTGTGAGCTGGAGTAATTTGCTCTCCGTGATCGCATTCCAAATCGAGGTGGCGAGTGGGTACAAGTACTACATGTGGTAATTGACCGTTTTAGGCTTTTTAGATTCTTTTAATGCCTTTAATCGCATTGTCATAACATGTTATATATTTCATTGTAAATTTATCCCCACACGCCTTATTTGACAATGTTAACACTTGTTCCACCTTTTACTTGTCAATTGCACTTATATGCTTTAGTGGAAGTTGTAGTTTTCCTTACTGTTCGTTACTTCTTTAATTGTTGAAGTGGTTACTTGAAGACATTGTTTACGCAGAATAGCTTCTTGATGAGTTATTGGTGTTGAAATAGTAAAAGTCGTGATCACATTGAAGCAAAGTTGTTAATTTTTGAAATATCATTCTTGTTGAGCTATTCAATTTCAGTTTGCTATTATTGAGACTCTTGTATATATTGTGGTTGAGCCATGAGTCTTTGTTGTGAAAACATTTATATTGTTGATTCTTTTGGCAAGTTATGGTATTTGGTCACTTGAGGTGTGAGTTGTGATATTAATAAACATGCGGTGGTATAAGGATAGGGGTTGATACGCATACGGTAAGATAAGATGGGCTTGATAAGCTTGTTGCTAGTAGGGGAACTACTTGAAGCCACAAAATCTGATAAGGTGAGATAAAACGCGGGTAGCTATTACGAAAAAATAATTTTTAAACCTAAACGTAAGGCTCCCGTGGTGATATTAGGAAAGAATATGATTGTGATTGTTAAATGAGATTACAAGGAAGTACATCGGTTGTGATTCTTTCCATTATCTCTCATTTACCTCACTTCTATTTGTCCGCATTGTTTCCCTGATGTTCTTATTATGTGTTCCTTCCCTGTTGCATTTATTGCTTTAAATTTAGTTGCAGTCTGTTTTGTTGTATTTCCAAGCTTCTAGATCAGAGACTTCAAGGTATACCTGTCGGTGTCCGCAGGCCTCGAAGTCACTATTTGTCCTTGTTCTCTATTGCATAATCTATATTTAGGTAGTGATGTGTAATGACCCAACCAACCGTTTTGAGCTCTAGTGCGTCATTTGGTGGTTTGAGGACTTGAGTAGATTCACTTCATGTATCATAAGAGGGAAGGCTGCAGATGCGACGATATTTTCGCATCTGTGAGCCCGTAGATGCGAAGAATTTTCCACAGAAGTGGAAACGATCTGGGCAAGATGAAGTCACAGAAGAAGAAGGGCTCTGCATGTGCGATTGCGCAGGAGTGAGGGTTGACCATAGAAGCGCTCACGCAGGAGCAGAAGTGGTCTGCAAAAGCGATTTTCCTAGGTTTAGAGGGAACCGCACATGCAATGGATTTTTTCGTAGGTGCGAAGCCGTAGAAGCGGTTATTTGTCCACATATGCGAAATATCACTGGGCAGAGGGGTGGTTTAAATCGAGAATTAGCTCTCATTTCTCTCATTTTTCACTTGGATGCCGAATTTGGGGAGCTATTTTGAAAAGATTTTCATCGAGCAACATGAGGTAAGTTACTCCCACTTATTGTAAGTTAAATTCATAGATTGCATAAGTATTTAAACATGAAAATGGGTGGAAATTGTGGGATTTCGGTAGGAATCCTAGAATTTGAGTATTTTGGATTTTGATCACGATTTTGGAAATGAAATTAGGAATAAATTATATATTTGAGTTTGTAATATTATGGATAATGTTTATCTTCAAAAAATTTCGGAATCCGGGCACGTGGGCCTGAGGTTTGACTTTGTTGACTTTTCGAGCGTAGTTAGGAATCATTATAAATTATTAAATTATACGCATTGGGGTATATTTTGATTGATTTGCACATTGTTTGAGTAGTTTTGGATCGGCCTGCATCGATTGGAGGTGTTGGAGAGGCATTGGATCCAGTTGTGGAATTTCGAAGCGAGGTAAGTCTCATGTCTAACCTTGTGAGGGGGAAATTACCCCATAGGTGTTAATCTTGTTATGCGCTACATGTTGTTGGAGCTATGCACGTATGAGGTGACGAGTGCCCGTGCACATTCTAGAATTTCTGAGTATGTCCGGGTAGACTAAGATTCACGTTATTCTTTAAATGTACTAGTTGAGTTATCCTTGCCTGTTTAATTACTTTATTTCACATCACGAACTGAGATTATACTTGTATAGAGTAATGGACTCGCTATTTTAGAAATTTGATGAGCTACTTGATTAGCCACAGAATAATTGTGCTTCCCTTACGAATTTCTCCCGCGTTATATGTGTTCATCAAAAAGCTTCTTTAAATTTCATAACTGACACGTATATTCATGAGTAGGGTCAAGGACACGTTAAAATTTCTTATTCCAACGGGATTGGGCCGTTCGCCTCGGCAGTATCATATTCTTATGGGATCGGGCCGTTTGCCATTTTTATAAAACACTCTAATGGGATTGGGTCATTTGCCTCGGCAATTATATAAAAATATTCTTATGGGATCGGATCGTTTGGCTCGGCAGTATCATATTTTTATGGGATCTGGCAGTTCGCCTCAGCATTTCTATAAAACACCTAATAGGATCGAGTCGTTCGCCTCGGCAGCTTTATAAAATCATTCTTATGGGATCGGGTTGTTCGCCTCGGCAACTTTATAAAAACTTCTTATGGGATCGGGCCATTTGCCTCGGCAGTATCATGTACCACATTCTTATAGGATCGGGCTATTCACCTTGGCATTTCTATAAAATACTCTTATGGGATCAGGTCATTCCCCTCGGCAACTTCATGAAACACTCTTGTAGGATCGGGTCATTCGCCTCGGCAGAATCGTGCGTAATATTTGACAAGAAGCCAACATATTCATGAGTTTTCCTGATTTGAGTTGTGACGGGCTATCTGGTAGGGACCATTTTATATATACTCCGGTTGAGGAGGTAACCAATAATTGAGAGCTTGTGTTTACTGTTAAGAGGAGGGTCGTACCACGTACCTATGTTTGTTTACGTTGTTTATTTATCATGCCTCGCACTTGTTTAATTTCTACAGTACCTGATATATCGACAACTAGGAAGTGTCGATGTTAACCCTCGTCACTACCTCTACGGGGTTAGGCTAGAAACATACTGGGTATCCGTTGATTTACATACTCATACTACACTTCTGCAGTTATTATGCAGGCGTATATATTAGGGGTGGGCATCAGTCGGTTCGGTTCGGTTTTGAATATTATCGGTTTTGCCTATCGGTTATCGGTTTAAAAATATCATAACCCGATAACCAAACCGATAAGATATTGGTTATCGGTTATCGGTTAATCGGTTATTGATCATTATCGGTTCGGTTATCGGTTTACCCGATAAGGTAAAACTAAAATTAGGAGTGTTGATTGCTGAACGTTTGTACAAAGTTTACTGGAAGCTGCTATATATTGTGGAAGAAGCCGCAGAACTACAAGCATTTGATGAATTTAAACTTCAGTTTAAACTGCACATAAACTGCACACAAAGCTGCACATAAAACCAACATTTCTCACAATAATTTCAGTTTAAACTTCTCACTGAATAATTTCAGCACACAAAGCTGCACATTTTTTGCCTCAAACTAAACATACCCAGTACCTCAATTGCCTGCATACAAAGTGCAAACAACTCAAAATTCCAATCTAACAAAAATAGGAGATAAAAAGATCCCAACTTTCACAACCCAAAAACAGATGTATACACAGTAATGTCCAAACTCCAAAGTAATAGTTCAAACACATTAATAACAATGCAAAGTAGTAGCAACCTTAGGATTAACAAGTCCAAAGTCCAAACATAATACATAAAACAAGATGACAATAACTACATCTTACTTTCCACCATCCATCATCACCTTCTTCAATCCTTTCATAGTGACTCCAAACATGTGAGATAGCTTTGAGACCACAAAGTCGAGGCATGGTTACACCTATTAAACATAATAAGAAAATATATTAAGTAAGTAATATTTGTAATCACACTATGTGTTATATAAGTTGAATAATTAACTTACCAAAGTTTTAACTTACAACTATCTAAGATTCTACATATCATCATCGCGGGGTTCGTTTCCAAGATTGGCAAAATCTATGATAATATATATTAACAAGTCAAACAACAAAAATATTAAATAAACTATTTATAAAAATAATATACAATCAAACAAATTAAAATATTGCTACCTTGTTCTAGTTGCCCGAGAACATTTAAATCTTCCTCAACACTTACAGGTAATGGCTCACTTCGAAGCCAATCTTGAAGGCAAACGAGAACTTCCACTAGGGGTGGGCATCGGTCGGTTCAGTTTGGTTTTGAATATTATCGGTTTTGCCTATCGGTTATCGGTTTACAAATATCATAACCCGATAATCAAACCGATAAGATATTAGTTATCGGTTATCGGTTAATCGGTTATTGATCATTATCGGTTCGGTTATCGGTTTACCCGATAAGGTAAAACTAAAATTAGGAGTGTTGATTGTTGAACGTTTGTACAAAGTTTACTGGAAGCTTCTATATATTGTGGCAGAAGCCGCAGAACTACAAACATTTGATGAATTTAAACTTCTGTTTAAACTGCACATAAACTGCACACAAAGCTGCACATAAAACCAACATTTCTCACAATAATTTCAGTTTAAACTTCTCACTGAATAATTCCAGCACACAAAGCCGCACATTTTTTGCCTCAAACTAAACATACCCAGTACCTCAATTGCCTGCATACAAAGTGCAAACAACTCAAAATTTCAATCTAACAAAAATAGGAGATAAAAAGATCTCAACTTTCACAACCCAAAAATAGATGTATACACAGTAATGTCCAAACTCCAAAGTAATAGTTC